GAAAAAGGTTGGGTTCCATCATGTAACTTAATGAAATCATATTATTTGTTTGAGCTCATGTGTGAAAGTTCCGTAAGTTTTATGCTAGACGTTCTCATGATTAGTCATTCATATTTTTCCAATAAATAATAAATATTTCACTTTCATGCATAAATGATGTACTTTTAAATACAATACAAACAAAAGTACCGCATCTCCTATTTGTAATTTTCGAATGCGTTAAGCCTAAACGGTAGACTCACACGTTTTCGGATCCTATGTGTCAAATTTTTATACTTTGTCATTTGATTTGAATAGATTTCCAATAAAAAAATAACTAGACTTGGAAAAACCATAAATATACTGAATATTTATGATAATTATTAAGAGCATTAATAACGTTTTAATTTCATTTCACATTCTAAAAGCGGTTTATAGCGCATAAATTTGTTCCCCAATATTTCTCTTTTCCTTAAACTTTTTTTTAAAATAACAAAAAAAATTATTAACATAAAGTATAAATATATTTTAAAAGTTAATAGTTTTTGAGGTTATTATAAAATTTTTATATATGATGTATCAAATTAATCATCTCCCGATGAGTTTCGATTTGACATTTATATTTTACATACTAGATAAATAAACAATTATAATCACATTTATAATAAAAATTAAATTAACTATTACTATTATTTCAAATAAATAAAATTATTTAAGTTAACTAAACTAAAATGTATTTTATGATATAAGTAAAAAAAATTGTGATATAAGATGAATGAGTCGTATAAGTGACAGATGTTAATTTAAATATAAATAATAATATAGTTCTTCAAAAAACTATTCAAAATTCAAAACAATTTTTTTTCATTATTTTTCAATTTTAAAATCTTTTAACTATCACTCGTGTAATACACGAGTATTTACTAGATTCATAATATGAGTATGCATTATTTATGAGAAAATATGATTGCCTAATGGTTAGCAGCCTAACAACAGTATTTGTGGTGAAAATTTAGGATTTTTTAGATTAAAACTCGTGTTTTACAAAACAGATTTTTAATTGGATTATTTATCATGTAAACTAAATGGAATCAGATTATTTGTTTGAGTTTATGTGTAAAAATTATTTATTAGAAAAATAATTTCCTAAAGTGCCACGTTAGCATAAAGACTTCGAGCTTATAATACGATATTTGTAGATGAAACAAAATACAAAAATGTATATGAAGCTATTATA